CCGCCCTTTATTGGGTTGAGAAGAGAATTCATTTGTCATACTAATTTATCTCTAGAGCTATGTTGAGTTAAAACCTTATTTCATTTTATTAAACCTGACCTCACCTATTTCTTTAAGAAAAAAAAATTTACCAAGGAGCCATTGTCCGGTATTTGCATAAATGCCACATTTATTTCTTAACTGAACAATGCCTTAAGTATACACAAACAGTTTAAGACCCTAAATTCCAACACTCATAGTTTAAGACATCGAGAAAACTAGACTCATGACTTCAGTAGTTTTGTTATTATACAGTAGTACAGGGTGTGCCCACAGCAATCACATATATACAAAGCAAGAGAAATGGTCTCCCAGCACTTGGGGATGGCATCACAGGAAAAACTCATGTGGACAAACTAGATAATGGAAGCACAGGCAAAAACAAACAAATAAAACAAAACCCTCAAAACAAAACAAAAAAACTCCAACCAAACTAAAATAAAATTAACCACAACCGCCTTCATTTTACAGTAAGGTCTTAATAACAAGTTGAATCTCATGAAGAGTTCTTTCATACAGCTCATTGATTACCAGACAGAAAGAGAGACATTAAGAGCATCTTAGAAAGGTGTTAGACTTATGGGCTGCTGCTGCTGATTATGACATACGGTAGCACGTTTCCTTCATCATTGGCAACAGCTGGAAATGTTTATGTGAACTTATCCAGTTCTCAGTCAGGTGCTGCCTCCTTTCCCACTGTAAAAACTCAACTTCTTCTTGCTTGTTTCTTTTGAGGTCAATTTGGGAAATCTTTCTCTGTGGTTACCAGACCAGCTGTTCTCTGAGGGCCCTTTGAAGAGCTGGTATTTTTCTTTTGAGTGAGCACCTCATTGTTGACTGAGGATCTTTAGGATGGGTGCTTCATACGAAAAACTTAATGTAGACAAATGACTGCCTCTTGCATGATTACAAGAGACCAGGCAAAGACAGTCAATTGATTTCAAAGCTGTTTCCCCATGACAAACTTGTTCCATGAAATTATCTCTTATCCTAACTTCCTGTTAACTCATGATTAACTTTGATGACATCATTGTATCTCACTGACCTCTGTTACACCAAGGAAACAGTATGATTCTATTACAGTGCAACTGCTGTTACTTCTGAGTGACCAGTCTACATCTCAGCTGTTTAACACTGAATTCAATTAGTTTTCAAATTCATCTACACATATTGAAACATACTGGGGATGACTTATCCAAATACACCCATTTTGGATTCTTTCTTCATTATAAGGACTATATGGGTCTTTTCCTGTGGCATTCTTACCCTCACAACAAAGTTTCTATGCCTCAGCTTTGACCGAAGCTACAAGATTTATCCATTCTTTAATGTTTCAATCTTGAAGACCCTTTTCATCCTCAAATCCAATGGAAAGAACAATGAATAGAATTTAATCTCAGCTACTCTAAGAGCTGGTTCATGTATCCTCTACTTGAATTTTTGAGAATGCATGTCTCTCTGGGTGGGACTCTCAACAGCAGGGATGCTAAGTGAGGAAGGATGTGGGGTGTCAGATATAGAAGAGGACTCTCCAGATATAGAAGATATAGAATTAGGACTCTCCAGCCATTCCCCAGATGGTACTAAAGAAAATAACCCTTTTGGGGAATCCACGTGAACAGCAGATGGCTACTATCTGGATATTTTATTGGGAGCCAGTATAAGTCCCATAAGCAGTCATTGCTCCTCAACTCTAGATCTTTATATTTGCGGCCTGATCCAAGCCCACTGGTGTCAATGGAAAGACTCCCACTGACTTTGGATCAGACCTCAGTCTCTAACTCAGAAAAGTAGTGTGCTCTGCAGATTTGCTGGCCTCAGGCACACAGCACTGACTGAGTGAAACTAGATGTCTTCTCCATAACCAAACCATCAAGACCATGCTCTTCAGGATCGCTGACCTAAGGCATGACCCATAACAGTATCACCCCCAAGCCATCCTTCCTCTCTGACCTGACAGGGATTCCCAGAGGACCCAACACTGGCATTTGCATCCCTTCCTCATTTTTCTCCCATTGTCTCCTGTGATTCTGTGTCTAGTCCAAAACAAATACAGGTATGTATATAAGGAAGCATGGTGATATACTTTTATAACCTAGCTACCTCCACTCTAGACTGCTCTAACCTGGGGAAATCTCTGAGAAGACTGAATAGGAGATAAAAAAAACCCCAGAAGACCAAAAATGTCTTGATTTACCCTTAAAATCCAGAGTTCAGTTGGGATGAGAATGGAAATTTAATAAGCCTGTTTTACCAAATGAAGGGGCTTAAAATTTCATATGCTTCCTAAGATTGGCTCCAGAAGACTTTGGTTTACACTAGCTCTTGATAGGACTGTAACAGCCATTCAGGAAATTTCTTAGAAACTGCATCTAAACAACAAGTCTTTGACTATGAATTATGTTAAAATAAATACTCAAGCCAAGTGGTCTTTACCAAGGGCCTGATTCAAAATGCAGTGAAGCTGATGGGAGACTTTCCATTGGCCATCATCAGGGCCTCAGTGGAAGGATTTATTTGCTGCCAGAGCAGAGATTGCTGAAATGTATTTTCACCAGCTGACAATCAGTTCTTTGAGTTGAGGTTTAGCAGTTAGAATGAGCCCTAGTCCTTTCTATGAAAGCTCCCCTATACTGTCAAGCAGAGCTGGGAGATAGAACAAAGAATTAAGAATTAAAAAACCCTAGAACTTAAGACTGATTAATATGGATATATACACAAGGGGAGGAGCGCTCTAACTGTTCTAGGTTTTGATTCAGCAGTCAGCAAAAAACTGCGGCATGTACTAAACATTAGATAGGTGCTTAATTCCATTCAGTGTGATTTAAGCACATGCTTAATTGCTCTGCTGGATAGGGATGGACATAAGCATGTGCTTACATGCTTTTCTGAACTGGGGACATAGTTTGGAGTTTCTCTCTTGCAGATTCTCATTGAGGGCAAAGCATCTCTCTGTGTATATAACAACACATAAGATTTATTTGTATGTATAAAGTGCTTATTCCAGGCATTAGGCATTTAATCTAATTATTAAAATTCAGTCCTGGATTTAAAAAAATTATTTTAAGTCCATAAGGAATAGCTGTAAAAACAAGAGACCTTCACCTTGGTCAGCAAGTTGTCGTCTAACCCGTCTGCCCATGTAGGACTGGCACAAAGAAGAAAAGCCCACTGAAAGGAACAAGCACTGGCACCTGCACTGACACTGTTCCCTGCAGGAACCCGCAGTGCCATCCAGGTCAGAGAGATAGAATGAAATTCCCTGGGAATGAGAGTGATGCCGTGGAGCTGGTCAAAAGCAAATCAGGGTCCAGAGGGAAAAAAAAGCACTTGTCATGCAGCATGAGAGCTGAGCGAAATAGTGGCTCAATACAAATGCACTGCCTCTGTGCAGACAGGAGGCAGAGGCTGGGGAATGAAATCTTTCTTCACACTGCAGCATGGTGATGGGCAATTGCTGGGAGCTTGTGTGCGTGTGTGATATCTCTACAAGCCCGTTGAGGTTGCATGGAGGCTTTGTTGGGCTCCCCACATGTCCCCTTATCCCATACCCTAGCCTCCCCAAAACAAGAAAAAGGGAAAGAAGAAATACAGTGCATAGACCATCTCCACTTGGAGCCACACATACAATACTCAACAAACACAACAGAGAGGATGGAAAAGTGCCGAAGAGAACCAAGGCACAGCCGTGCTGTGCAAATTAAAGTCAGCCGTGAAGTGTGACGATGAAGCATGGACCAGTGATGGTCCTGGGAGATGTATGGAGGGAGGGGGAGCGCCCCATGTTTCTGCCTGGAGTTGCATGCATACGACCAACTGGATATCTTAATTAAACAATCTGGGTAATTAAAAATTAATAAAGATCTTTGCTGCTGAAGTTACTTTAAAAAGCTTATAGCAAGGTCAGCACCAGATGACCAGGTCCTTCCCATGGGGAGAGGGATTATTAATGATGCCATATCTCTGCTTTGGTATGCTTCCCCCACCAACTTAGCTGTTCTGTGTAGGCAGTCTAAGCCCAATAGAGAGGTGGGGCAAGGGGAAGAAGGATGAAGTTAATGTTTTAAATGGGGTAGGGGAATAAGAAAATGTCATCACATATAAAAGTAAAAAGTCTCAATTTCTCTCATCCTTGCCCATCCTCATGCCATTCTCTCTGCTACCCATTCAGTTGCTGCAAACAGATTCTTCCCATAATAAAGAGAAGGAAAGTAAAAGCCCTTTCAGAAAAGGACAGTGAAACTCAGCCATCTGGTTCGAGACAACTGTTCTGAATTTAGGCTCCAATATAATTTTATGATCTAGCTTTAACCCCCACCAGTAACAACCCTTTATTAACGCTGACCATCTGCACAGATGTAACTATATGGGCACCTTCCCAAGATTCACTAATGAACCCGCATTTGGGTGTAGTAGCCACCTGATAGCCCAGAACAAGCTATTGCTAGCTAAACACAACGGAGGTCTGCAGTAATGCACACCTCAGGTCTGTCATCTCCCTCCGTATTACACTCACTGGCAGGATGCAATCCCTCCTGGCCTCTCCCCACTTCCCAGCTGGGTGGGTTTGATCAGAGAGGATTCTTGAGCCCCATCTACAGTGAGTCCCTGTGACACTGATTAATCCTTTTGGAGGTTTCCCAGCTAGAGATTAGTACAGTACAGCCCAGGCCAGAGATAAGTACAGTATAGATGGACTGCATACTTACTAGAACAGGGGTAGGCAACCTACGGCATGCGTGCCAAAGGCGGCACGTGAGCTGATTTTCAGTGGCACTCACACTGCCTGGGTCCTGGCCACCGGTCCGGGGAGCTCTGCATTTTAATTTAATTTTAAATGAAGCTTCTTAAACATTTTAAAAACCTTATTTACTTTACATACAACGATAGTTTAGTTATATATTATAGACTTATAGTAAGAGGCCTTCTAAAAACGTTAAAATGTATTACTGGCACGCGAAACCTTAAATCAGAGTGAATAAATGAAGACTCGGCACACCACTTCTGAAAGGTTGCCGACCCCTGTATTAGAAGGTGACTGAGGATATTGAGAGGCAGGCTGCATTGTACTCATTTGGAGCATTCAAACAGCACCCCACCCCAAAAGTGAACTGGCAGAACCATCTGCCCTTCCAGAACTTCAGATCCCCTTTCCATCCCTTTCACCCCATTTGAAGTTGGGCCCTGAAAACAGACAGAATAGAGGGTAGAACCAACCAGAACCTGTCATCATTGCATTCTACCTGTCTAGTCACTGAACCCTACATTGCTGGGTTTCAAGCACTTGGGGAAATGGAGGGGATGGGATATACACACATGCACACACACACACACACAAAGTGCTTTGATAAGTGCAGTGACTTGTCCGTGTGCATGTCTTTGCTGTGCTATGTGTGGATTGCCTCGTTTGGGAGGGCACAGTGCACTATCCAGTCACCACGTGGAGGAAAAGTGGTTTGAGCTCTGGAGTCAAGGCTAAGGAGATGGGGTAGGGTAGGAGGGTGAGAGTTCTGAAGTCAGTGTGTATGTGTTTGCACAGAGGTGGGAGCATGACCTCCTGGATCCATCCAGACCTCCCAGTGCTGGGATAGAGAAAGAAGACAAAAATGGCATCACAAAATGGCCTGACAACCCCTTCCCCACTGGCCCACCGTCCAAGGCCCTGCCTTCCCTTTGGGAGGCTTTATGTATGCAGACATGAGCAGTAAAACGGGATAAACTCAATGTACAAATTGCAGTGAAGTAAATAGAAATAAATACTTTATAAATATAATCTCAAACTACCATAACTTAATCTATCTTTTTTTAAAACGTCAATAAGTTAAGAAGTATCAGTACTTAAACCTATCACTTTCTCTTCACATGGAAGCAATTCCTCATGACTTGTAATCTCTGACCTTTCAAACGCTCCTGCCTCCTTAAATTGAAGCCTTGCTTTAAAATAAGAAACACAACTCCTGCTTTTGAGAGTTACAGGTCATGTGACACCAAGGTCACTCGATGGGCAGAAGATCACATGCGCACAAGAAATCATGACCAGGCTGTACCAGGCTTTTGCAGATACAACAGAAATGCATTTTCCCAGTGAAGGTGTAAATCGAGATGGATCCATTTGTGGAGCAGGCAGCTGGGGTGGTGGATGGCATGAAAGATTTGACGTTAAGATAGGGACTCTTGTATAGAACCAGCAATCTTGATCCTGCTAGCAGACAGATGAGGTGGAGAATGGTTTTAGGTTAGATTCTCATCTGGGCTGTTCTCCTTCTGGACAGCTTGGATCTGTTTTGGAAACCAGGAGACAAAAGGAGTCAAAGGACTAGAAAAGGAATGCGGAGAGAAAGAAAGGGAGGCAGACACTCTCCTTGTGAGAGACCCTGTCATGGAGGTAGAAAGGTGCAAGACAGACAGAAACTATGGGCTGGATTAACATTGGCACAGACCAGACGAGACCAGACCCATCCGCAGCCCATCTAATCCATCTGTACCTGACAGGGGTCAGCATCAGAATTAATCAAAGAGAGGGTGGGTAGGTATGTTTCTTTATACAATGACTACAGGGAATTTCTATTTATTTATTTATCTTCTTTTAACTCTACTACTGAAATGATGATGATTTGTTCTAGGGATTAAGGATCAGATCCTCAACTGATATAAAACAGGGTTCAAAAAAGAACTAGATACGTTCACGGAGGATAGGTGCATCAATGGCTATTAGCCAGGATGGGCAGGGATGCAAAACCATACTCTGAAGTGTCCCTAGCCTCTGTTTGCCAGAAGCTGGGAATGGGTGACAGGGCATGGATCACTTGATGATTACCTGTTCTGATCATTCCCTCTAGGGCACCTGGCATTGGCAACTGTCAGAAGACAGGATATTGGTCTGACCCAGTATGGCTGTTTTTATGAATCACAGAATATCAAGGTTGGAATGGACCTCAGGAGGTCATCTAGTCCAACCCCCTAATCAAAGGGGAACCAATCCCCAACTATTTTTTTTGCCCCAGAGCCCTAGCTGGCCCCCTCAAGGATTGAGCTCACAACCCTGGGTTTAGCAGGCCAATGCTCAAACCACTGAGCTATCCCTCCCCCCAATAGACTTTAATAGACTGATGCCTAGTTACACCAGCTGAGGATCTATCCCTGAATTTCTGTGTTTATTTTGGTGTGGGGGGGGGGGGCGGGGAGAGACAGTGTCCTTGTAACATTAAGGTGGCACAGTTGAAATCACAGTTAAAATGAACTCCTAAATGCTGCACAAAACAATGAGGCCACCAGAGAAGAGCTTGTACAACCTACCCCCATGGTGTACCCCAATCCAACTGGACTAAACCATCATCATTAGGGTTCAGAGTTGTGGAGAAACCCAGCTGTTCTGGGATTTGGAGCAAAATTTTGTATTGTCAGTGGAGATAGAATAGAGCACCACCATGTTGCCTGCCCGCAATTTTAACCCCTTATGGTTCAGTGTCTGCATCTGCATACAGTCTGTGAAGCATTTGAATTTTATAAGCAATGGTGCTGAGAGCAAGGAAGAAGACCTCAACATCCAATTTGAAATACAAATGGAAGGGACCAACAGTAGCACCATCTCTTTGATAGAAAAAAATTAAACCAAGACCCCTTCTCACAAGGCTATTGAGCTGAAGTGGATGGAGAGGAAGGAGTCTCTGGGAATTGCCCTATTTTGCTCATTTAATGCTGCCAACCCCTTGCAATAATGTTACAATCATCAGACAGCAGGCCTTGCTCCCTGCAGCTCCACCTTCAAAAATACGTGGAAGATGCTTGATAACTGGGTAGGAAAAGGCATCACAGAGCAGATTTGCTGAGCAAGAAACCAAGCTGGAGAATCAAAACCAAGTTTCTTCCAAAGCAGCCTGTAGCGGGGTGGACACCCGCTCCTGCCTGGGAAGACTGGAAAGCAGCCCTGGAGAGGGCTGCAGCTCTAAAAGCTGGGCTGACTGGGGAAGCGGCCGCAGCTGGGCCACACCCCAATCAGGCCACAGCTGGCCTGTATAAAGAGGCTGGGAGCCAGGAGCTCAGACACTCTTTGCATTCAGAGAGAGAAGGGCCTGGCTGCAGGGAGCTACAGACAGGGTACCTGAGTGGAGCAGGGCTGGGGAAAGGCAGAGGAGCCGGGGAGCTCCAGCCTGGAAAGCCCCAGGCTGCAGCCTAGCATAAGGCCAACAGGTACTGGGGGTTGCAGAGGGCAGCCCAGGGGTAGGCAAAGGCAGCAGGTCTAAACCCAACCTTGCCAGTGATAAGTAGGCTGATACTGCAGTCTGCCCCAGGGCGTGGGGGCTAGACAAGGACTGGCAGCAAGCTTATACTGAGGTGAGGTGGGGATAGTGGGTGGGGGTTTCCTGGGGAGGGGAGACCCTGAGAGAAAGGGGTTACTGCCAGGGGGAAGCACCCCAGCTAAAAGGGCACCAGAGTCCAGGGAGGGACACAGGGGCCAAGAGGTAGTGGATCACCGGCCTGCAGAGGGCGCTCCGGAGCTGGGACGAGCTAATTCCCATGGACGACCAGCAGGAGGCGCTGCAGGGGTGAGTCTGCACTGCTACACAGTCTAGAGTGTTACTAACAGGTTATCACGCTGTCTCCTTATGGAATGGTTTAAAATGTCCCCAGGTACCTTATGGATCCAGCTAGCAGAGGGTTAAATGCATACAGCCAGTCGTGCATATCCTTGTCGCTGCTTGCCTGCAGCAGGATTCCACGATGCTCCGTGCATACTGCAAACGTGTTGGGGGTCTGAAACAGACCAATGCCATGAATGAGTCCACAGGGCTACCTGAGATGACACCGAGCAACATGCAGCACAGCTTGGAGCATGAAGGGACATAGAACAGGACCCAGACGATGCCGGGGAAGACACTATCACAGTAGGCTATGTTTCCTTGAATGTGAAATTCCTCTGCTTTTCTGAACAGTCACAGATCAGAGCTCTGTTGTGGCTTCTCTGCACAGAGGAGAGTGGATTCTGACACCATGAGAACATTTCTCATTTTTAAAGGTGCAATTTCATCCTTTGGCACCCCGTGCCGACAAGGAAACTAGGTGTGAGCTGTCGAGCAGCACACGATCTCCCTAAAGCTGGCTCTGTGGGGAGTATTAGCATACCACTGTGCTCCTAGACTCTCTTTTCCCTTCACCACCATGTTGTGAACGTCACTGTTCCTTTCACGTACCAGTTTCTGATCCCTATGGTCTTTCCCCATCCCTGGCCCATAGCCATCGCTGTAGCCCCTCCCTTTTCCTTTTAACATGATTTCAGACATGTGCTGCCATTCTGGTTCCCCGACCTTGCACTTGTAGCACAGCCTTGGACATGAGCTGTGCTTCCCCTGTTTTGCCCATGTCACGATCTCCAGCAATTACCTTGAGCATGGCCTGCTGGTCCTCACTGTACTCCACCTGAGCGGAGGAGAGGTTGAGGATGGCTCTCTCCACAGAATCCTTGTCCGTGTTGTAGATGTAGACATAGGGGCGCCTCACCACCACATAGCGCTTCACCCAGCCATTGGTGTGAGGCTCGAGGAAGTGAAGGTAGCCTTTCTTTGAGACAATGGGACTGCAAAGGGCAAGACAGGGCAGCCTTATGCTTAGTGACTGCAGAAAACCACTCAGCGAAAGGGTTAAAACCCCAAGGACTTATCCCTACTCTTGCTGTTTTGCAGATTGTCCCTCACCTCCTTCCTGCAAATCCCGCCCCCTCTCCCGATGCAGACTGCCAGCCTTGAACCTCCTGCCCTGTGACCTTCTCGTCACTTAGCAGCAGCTACTCTGAACACCTTCCATCTTCCTGTGTCCCTAGCGAGGCTTTCAGCCATTTGAGGAGGGAGCTGTATGTGGCTGTACTGAGACTGCCACTCTAGCAGGGAGAGCTCCAGCCATGAGGGCATTCAGAGCACACTGACACCTCCTGCTTCAAGTAAACCAACTGCTCATACCTCACCCGGATCTCCTGAATATCGGGGACGAGTAAGCGCTGGGTCTCTTTCCCATCTTCAGGCCCATGTGTAGGAGATTTCTTCTGTTCTCCCTCCACTACAGGTTCTGGCTCAGGGCTTTCTGCCCTGGAAGAGAGATGGGAGGTTCTGGAAGGGGAAGAAAGGTATTTAATCACAGTGATGCCTTCACAGTGACTTTTGCCAATAGCCATCTCTGATTTTCTTCTGAAAACTGGCTAAATTGGTGCGCATGAAAGTGACCTACTGATAGCAGTGGCTAGACCCAGGCATAGCTATATCCCTGTGGACATCCCCCCCTCCAAATCACTGTCCATGCTCATCACTTCTGGCCTTCAAACCTCCCGTGATGCTGGCACTGTTCCTCTTTTGCACAGAGACTGATGGTTATGCCCAATCTCATGGTGGGTTGGTGTCTGGACTAGTGATCAGGCTGACCCTGTCCATGTTTGTTTGGGCCTCAGTTTGCATTTCTCATCCCTCAGTGGTCTGGCTGCACCTCTCTTACCTGACCTCAGTGGCATTATACCGTCCTTCTAGCAGTGATGGACAGGTGGAAGAGGGAGTCAGGGTGGTGACACCAAGAGCTGGCATGGAGGGGTCTCTCAGCAGGGTCACAGACATTTCTGACAGCTGCAGGAGGAAAGGAATCATTTCCTAGAGTCACAATCTAATCTGAGTTATAGGACGTGGACCTGAAGGGCAAAGGCCAAAGTTCGGTCTGGTGAACTGAAGACAATGGAGTTTCACCTGCTTATTCCTGGTATGAATTTGGCCCTATCTGGGTAACGAGTGCTCTTCCGTGCTGCAGAGACAATTCCTCTTTCATATTTGCATGGTTACTGGGGTCTTTTAAAGGTCACAGTGAACAGATGGGGGACAGCTTCTCAAAGTCAGTGTGATCCCTAGAGGAGAAGGGAGCTAGGCCGATATAACACAGTTGAGGATGCTATCTTTTATAGCTCTTGCCCTTTGGTTAGAGCCGATATTTGATATACTAATGCCCTTGATTTTTCCCCAGTTTACCAGCTAGCGAAAGTTGTACAGCCCTCTAGCAGAGGCAGACTCCAGGGACAGGGCAAGTCACCAGACCTTCCTTCTCCCCACATAGGTAATCTTCAGGGCAGGTCATCTGCTCTTTCCCACACCTTGCCTACGTCTCCCTCCCTCTTCCTTTCCCTTCCACTCCTGGGTGCTCCCAATGGAAAAGACATCAGGGACTGGCAAGGTCAGACCCACTGGGCCCTGCCCTCCTGTGCTCTGCTCTGGAGAAGTAAGTGGGAGGCAAAGTGGGAAGCTTTGTCACAGTGCTGACACTGGCCTCCTTCTGGAGCTGGCCCTATAGCCCTGAGGTCCCAGAGCACCAGTGTTTCTAGGCTGGTAGCTGGGGGGTGGGTTTCTGGAAGCCACTAGATTCACAAGACTGATCCCACTCCTCAGTCCCATAAGGGAGGAACTGCAGTCAGGCCAGGAGATCGATATTAGGAGAGGCAACTTCTCCTCCTCTCCTTCTCTGCTCAGCCAAAGCAGAGATAGACATGGAGGTGATAATCTCGTGGAATGCAGCACCATGCACCTCTCTAGTAGCGATGACTGTGGCATGCCATCGGCGTTAGCACACAGAGCCTGCTTAAAGTGGAGTGAAATGGCACCCTGAGGCCTTGTTCACATACCAGCGGGAATCTCCTGCTAAGACAGGGGTTCTCAAACTGGGGGTCGGGACCCATCAGGGGGTCACACGAGGTTATTACATGGGGGGGTCGCGAGCTGTCAACCTCCACCCCAAATCCCGCTTTGCCTCTAGCATTTATAATGGTGTTAAATATATTAAAAAGTGTTTTTAATTTATAAGGGAGGGGTTTGCACTCAGAGGCTTGCTATGTGAAGGGGTCACCAGTAAAAAAGTCTGAGAGCCACTGTGCTAAGATTCCCGATGCAGGCCAGGCCAGGAGCTCACTATCAGTAGGTGTCACTGTCTGAGCAGAACCAGCACTTCCATACTGCTTATCACATCATTGTCAGAGGCAGGGAGTGCTAATGGTGCTGGGAAGTTGGTCCTACCTTGCTCTCGCTGGCGCTGATACAGACATGGCTGTGACTGTACTCTCTGTTAAATGTATGTGTGAGGAGACGCAAGCACTGCAGGGGAAACAAAAGGCAACATCCAGTTGGCAAGCAAGACCTCTCCTCATGAACATGTAAACATCTTCCAGTCCTGCCAGTGACTCTCCCCATCTGCCCTTCTCTGCCAGTCCTGAAACGTGCGGCTCTGTCTCAGCTTCCTCTGGATAAATATTTCAAAGGCAACATTCTGCTGATCAGGAGGAACAGCTGTGAGCACCAAATCCAGCTCATGGATTCCCCTGCTTGCCTCAGACCTTCCATGAATTCTCCTTCCACATCTCCTGCCCACTGCCTCCTCCCCTAATCACTGCCTCTGCTGAACCCCTCCTCCATGCTGTCACCTCCTCGCACCTTGATGAGGGCCACTCCCTTCTCTCTGGCCTCCCAAGCTTCACTCTAGCCTATGTAGGATGCTGCTGCCCATTTGCTCCCCAGTGTCTAGCCTTCAAGAGGGGCTGGCTTGCTGCAATACAATACCTTGACGGCAAGCTCTTTCTGCCTCTCGCTGGGGGTCTCCAAGGGCGAGCTCCTGCCCTCTGAGGCACCATCTGCCGAGAGTGGAGTGGAGACACAGGAAGTGCTATGGGAGTCGGAATCCTCACTGGAACATGGGGACAGGGACTCCAGGCCTGATCTTTGGGTCGTCTCCAGTTTCTCGCGTAGGAGCAGGTAATGCCTCGTCTTCTCAACCTGGACAAAGACATTCACTTTCAAGTTCAAGTGTCTGGCACTTAACTTCACTTGCATTATTCCCTTCCCACTGCATTGCCTTGTTCAAACACACGGTGATGAGTATCTTGGAGAGAACGAATGTCACAGCTCCTACATGAGCTACTATGGGAACACTTTAAGATGACATTATACCACAACTATCATAAACTCAACAAAATGCCTGCTAGTGGCCTACCAAAAAATCTCTGTTACCTAGCTTTCGTAACTGTTGTTCTTTGAGATGTGTTACTCCTGTCCGTTCCATGCTAGGACCGTGCACGCCCACGTGCACTGCTACCAAAGATTTTTCTTAGTGGTATACATAGGGCCGACTCTGGCGCCTTCGCAGTTCGTTCTTGCCATTGACTCCGACAGTGGGGTAGGAGGGCAGGTCATGGAATGGACATGAGCAACACATCTCAAAGAATAACAGTTACGAAAGGTAGGTGACCGTTTTTAATCCTTCGCATGCTTGCTCATGTTGATTCCATGTTAGGTGACTCACAAACAGTATCCCCGGAGAGGGCTCGGCGTTCATGGTTGTGCTGCTTGCAACACTGCTCTGCTGAAGCTGGCATCATCCCAGGCCATGATGGCGTAGTTGGACACAAAGGTATAAGAACATAAGAAAGGCCGTACCGGGTCAGACCAAAGGTCCATCTAGCCCAGTATCCTGTCTACCGACAGTGGCCAATGCCAGGTGCCCCAGAGGGAGTGAACCTAACAGGCAATGATCAAGTGATCTCTCTCCTGCCATCCATCTCCATCCTCTGACAGACAGAGGCTAGGGACACCATTCCTTACCCGTCCTGGCTAATAGCCATTAATGGACTTAACCACTATGAATTTATCCAGTTCTCTTTTAAACTCTGTTATAGTCCTAGCCTTCACAACCTTCTCAGGTAAGGAGTTCCACAAGTTGACTGTGCGCTGCGTGAAGAAGAACTTCCTTTTATTTGTTTTAAACCTGCTGCCTATTAATTTCATTTGATGACCCCTAGTTCTTGTATTATGGGAATAAGTAAATAACTTTTCCTTATTCACTTTCTCCACATCACTCATGATTTTATATACCTCTATCATATCCCCCCTTAGTCTCCTCTTTTCCAAGCTGAAGAGTCCTAGCCTCTTTAATCTCTCCTCATATGGGACCCGTTCCAAACCCTTAATCATTTTAGTTGCCCTTTTCTGAACCTTTTCTAGTGCCAGTATATCTTTTTTGAGATGAGGAGACCACATCTGTACACAGTATTCAAGATGAGGGCGTACCATTGATTTATATAAGGGCAATAATATATTCTGTCTTATTCTCTATCCCCTTTTTAATGATTCCTAACATCCTGTTTGCTTTTTTGACCGCCTCTGCACACTGCGTGGACATTTTCAGAGAACTATCCACGATGACTCCAAGATCTTTTTCCTGACTTGTTGTAGCTAAATTAGCCCCCATCATATTGTATGTATAGTTGGAGTTATTTTTTCCAATGTGCATTACTTTACATTTATCCACATTAAATTTTATTTGCCATTTTGTTGCCCAATCACTTAGTTTTGTGAGATCTTTTTGAAGTTCTTCACAGTCTGCTTTGGACTTAACTATCTTGAGCAGTTTAGTATCATCTGCAAACTTTGCCATCTCACTGTTTACCCCTTTCTCCAGATCATTTATGAATAAGTTGAATAGGATCGGTCCGAGGACTGATCCTTGGGGAACACCACTAGTTACCCCTCTCCATTCTGAGAATTTACCATTTATTCCTACCCTTTGTTCCCTGTCTTTTAACCAGTTCTCAATCCATGAAAGGACCTTCCCTTTTATCCCATGGCAGCTTAATTTACATAAGAGCCTTTGGTGAGGGACCTTGTCAAAGGCTTTCTGGAAATCTAAGTACACTATGTCCACTGGATCCCCTTGTCCACATGTTTGTTGACCCCTTCAAAGAATTCTAATAGATTAGTAAGACACGATTTCCCTTTACAGAAACCATGTTGACTATTGCTCAACAGTTTGTTTTTCTATGTGTCGGACAATTTTATTCTTAACTATTGTTTCGACTAATTTGCCTGGTACAGACGTTAGACTTACCGGTCTGTAATTGCCGGGATCACCTCTAGAGCCTTTTTTAAATATTGGCGTTACATTAGCTAACTTCCAGTCATTGGGTACAGAAGCCGATTTAAAGGACAGGTTACAAACCTTAGTTAACAGTTCCGCAACTTCACATTTGAGTTCTTTCAGAACTCTTGGGTGAATGCCATCTGGTCCCGGTGACTTGTTAATGTTAAGTTTATCAATTAATTCCAAAACCTCCTCTCGTGACACTTCAATCCGTGACAGTTCCTCAGATTTGTCACCTACAAAAGCCAGCTCAGGTTTGGGAATCTCCCTAACATCCTCAGCCGTGAAGACTGAAGCAAAGAATCCATTTAGTTTCTCCGCAATGACTTTATCGTCTTTAAGCGCTCCTTTTGTATCTCGATCATCAAGGGGCCCCACTGGTTGTTTAGCAGGCTTCCTGCTTCTGATGTACTTAAAAAACATTTTGTTATTACCTTTGGAGTTTTTGGCTAGCCGTTCTTCAAACTCCTCTTTGGCTTTTCTTATTACATTCTTGCACTTAATTTGGCAGCGTTTATGCTCCTTTCTATTTGTCTCACTAGGATTTGACTTCCACTTTTTAAAGGAAGTCTTTTTATCTCTCACTGCTTCTTTTACATGGTTGTTAAGCCACGGTGGCTCTCTTTTAGTTCTTTTACTGTGTTTCTTAATTTGGGGTATACATTGAAGTTGGGCCTCTATTATGGTGTCTTTAAAAAGCGCCCATGCAGCTTTCAGGGATTTCACTTTAGTCACTGTACCTTTTAACTTCTGTTTAACTACCCCCCTCATTTTTGCATAGTTCCCCCTTTTGAAATTAAATGCCACAGTGTTGGGCTGTTGAGATGGTCTTCCCACCACAGGGATGTTGAACGCTATTGTATTATGGTCACTATTTCCAAGCGGTCCTGCTATAGTTACCTCTTGGACCAGCTACTGCGCTCCGCTCAGGACTAAATCTAGAGTTGCCTCTCCCCTTGTGGGTTCCCGTACCAGCTGCTCGATGAAGCAGTCATTTAAAGTATCGAGAAATTTTATCTCTGCATTTCGTCCTGAAGTGAAATGTTCCCAGTCAATATGGGGATAATTGAAATCCCCCACTATTATTGAGTTCTTAATTTTGATAGCCTCTCTAATTTCCCTTAGCATTTCATCATCACTATCACCGTCCTGGTCAGGTGGTCGATAATAGATCCCTAATGTTATATTCTTATTAGAGCATGAAATTTCTATCCATACAGATTCTATGGAACATGCGGATTTGCTTAAGATTTTTACTTCATTTGATTGTACATTTTCTTTCACATATAGTGCCACTCCCCCCCCGCATGACCTGTTCTGTCCTTCCGATATATTTTGTACCCCAGAATGATTGTGTCCCATTGATTGCTCTCAGTCCACCAGGTTTCTGTGATGCCTATTATATCAATATCCTCCTTTATCACAAGGCACTCTAGTTCATCCATCTTATTATTTAGACTTCTAGCATTTGTGTACAAGCACTTTAAAAACTTGTCACTGTTTATTTGTCTGCCCTTTTCTGATGTATCAGATTCTTTTTTATGTGAATGTTTATCATCTGATCTGACCCCTACTTTATCCTCTTGCATCCTCTGCTCCTGACTATAACCTGGAGATTCTCTATCATTAGACTCTCCCCTAAGAGAAGTCTCTGTCCGAGCCACATGCTCCTCTGCAGCAGTCGGCTTTCCCCCATCTCCTAGTTTAAAAACTGCTCTACAACCTTTTTAATGTTTAGTGCCAGCAGTCTGGTTCCACTTTGGTTTACGTGGAGCCTATCCTTCCTGTATAGGCTCCCCCCATTCCAGAAGTTTCCCCAGTTCCTAATGAATGTAAACCCCTCCTCTCTACACCATCGTCTCATCCACGCATTGAGACTCTGAAGCTCTGCCTGCCTACCTGGCCCTGTGCATGGAACTGGGAGCATTTCTGAGAATGCCACCATAGAGGTCCTGGATTTCAGTCTCTTCCCTAGCAGCCTAAATTTGGCCTCCAGGACATCTCTCCTACCCTTCCCTATGTCATTGGTACCTACATGTACCCCGACCACCGGCTCCTCCCCAGCACTACACATAAGTCTGTCTAGATGCCTCGAGAGATCTGCAACCTTCGCACCAGGCAGGCAAGTCACCATACGGTTCTCCCGGTCATCACAAACCCAGCTATCTACGTTTCTAATGATCGAATCTCCCAATACTAATACCTGCCTTTTCCTAGCAACTGGAGTTCCCTCCCTCGGAGAGGTAACCTCAGTGCGAGAGGCAACCCCAGCACCGTCTGGAAGGAGGGTCCCAACTATGGGAAGGTTTCCCTCTGCTCCCGTTGACTGCTCTGCTTCCCTGGGCCTTTCATCCTCCTCAACAGCGCAGGGGCTGACCGGAGGTGGGACAATTCTACAGTGTCCCGGAAAGCCTCATCAACATACCTCTCTGCCTCCCTTAGCTCCTCCAGTTCCGCCACCCTTGCCTCCAGAGTCCGTACATGGTCTCTGAGGGCCAGGAGCTCCTTGCACCGAATGCACACATACACCACCTGCCCACGGGGCAGGTAATCATACATGCTACATTCAGTGCAATAAACTGGATAGCCCCCACTCTGCAGCTGGGCTTCTGCCTGCATTTTCTCCTAGTTAATGAAGGGGTTGTTTAAAGCAAGAAGTTTTGAATGTAGTTTGGGCTATAGGTTTTAAGGGGAATAAAGGGTTTAAGATAGAACCGGCAAGGGACCTGTGCTCCCTCCCTGCTCCCCTTCCAAACTCCCTTGTGAAACTCCCTTATGAAGTGAAAACCAGGTGGTGGCTCTACAGATATCCTGGATCAGTACCTGCGCGAGGAAGGCTGCTGACAAAGCTTGCACTCTG